GAGTCAACTGTTGTTCGTATTATGAACCTTTATCTTCGTATACTACGAACAAGGGTATTCGTATTATGGCTGCTCCAGATCCTTCGTATCTTACAAACTGAAAGCTTCATAATACGAAGACCTCTCTTCGTAAGAAACTAAGAGTGAACAAAACGGTTTCTCGTGTACCAGATTTTTGAGGTTCTCAGCTTTAAAATGATAGAGAACCGTTCTGACTTCTTTTCAGTTTTAGCGGAGATACGCGAGAAACCGTGCGTTTCAGTTTTAGCGGAGATACGCGAGAAACCGTGCGTTTGGTCGTGGCTTTGTTATGGTCCGGGAGCAGACGTCGGCCCGGATTCTTCCTGTTCTTCTTATTCGTAAAATACCTCATTCATCTGGTGTCAGTAGTGCTAATCCTCATCATAGACCCTCCACATTATCTTTAGTGAGAAGTACTTCAGAATGTTGAGGCATTTGTAAAATAACTACTCCAATACCATTTGACAAAACACTAGTGTGAGACAACTGATCAACTATTATTAATTTCCTTACCATTTCTATTTACAGTCTAGCAGGATTAAAGAAGAGAATGAACAGCCTACCATTTCCCGAAAAATGCCCCGCAGGACTGTCCAGCAAAATTCAACAGGTGTCAATAGTTCTCATCCACATCAAAGACAGTCCACCAATCCAAGTGCTATGAATTTTAATTCTTTAATGCCAGTAACGGGTGCTTCTGCACTCGGAGAGAATCTCGTCCCTCATCAAACCTTGCAATAGGGTATTTCAGAGCTGGAGGTGAAAAAGTAAAATGGAAGAACAAAACGCGCACTGCTCATGCGCTGACGCGGATTGGGGGAAGCAGGAGATGGAGTGGGGGTCGTCTGCTCATGCGCAGTCCGCGTTTTGTTCTTCCATTTTACTTTTTCACCTCCAGCTCTGAAATACCCTATTAGGAATGTCTTCGTCACAACTTGAAAGTTCTAACTCCCATCCAGGTAGTTCAGCCTCTCCACAAGGTAGCTCGCACTGTATCCCAGGAAGTGCTAACTCTCGAGCTGGTAGTTCAGCCTCTAGACAAGGAGGCTCCAATGGTGGACCTAGTAGCTCTTCCTCTGCTAATAGGCAGTGTACCTCCATCGTGTCTGCTCAGTCCTCAACCGAAGTCTCACAAGAAATTCTAACAGTAAATGTGCCAATGATCAAGCCCCATTTGTCTTCAGTGAGCAAAAGCTTTCATCCTTATCTGTGAACTTCTTTGCATTTGTTCCTATTGCCAAGGCTCACAGCTAAACAGCTAATAAAAGAGGGAGCACCAGATGCAACAGCTGCAGGAGTATGTTCAATTTGAACGAGTCAACATGATAAAAGTGTCAAGGCTTGGATACAATAAGACTAGCTACATGTACCCCAGACCACGTCTCGCGTAACAGGCTTCGCGACATCTCACGAAACACTGATACGCTGCGACGCGCCTGGCGCACACATAGCTAGGCCTGCGGCGCTGACACCCGAGATGAGTTAACAGAAGTGTATATACATTAGGGTGTTCCAGGCTACCTAAAACGGAAGTGAAAAAGAACAAACTCACTGATTTGTCTGTTTCCGTCTGCGCAGTATGAGAAACTACTATGGCAGTTTGGTCCGATCCTAACCTCTCAAATATGGAGGGGAGCTCGAAACTGATCTGACAATTTCTCATACCTGAAAGGCCTCGGAGGCACGTGATAAGCTTGACCAATCAGAGCCATTACGGAAACAGAGAGGTCAGTGAGTTTGTTCTTTTCCTACTTCCGTTTTAGATTGCCCGGAACACCCTATTCGTCGATGTCTAGTATTTTTTTTACGATTTAATAGACTATTTGGTCATTTTCACCTCATTTTTGTCAAGAAATGCCCCCTAGCACCCAAACGATTCAAGATAGAGCAAAACGGACGAAATTTTCCGCCTTAGGGGTATAGTTTCACGAGTTACCCTTTAGGAGCCCCTAAAAAAATATTTGAAAATAAAATTATTTAGCAACCTGTGGTTTTTGATTTTTAAAAAAGTCAATTTTTGAGCTATAGTGCTCATCTTCGAACTCGATCTGTCTTTTTATGAAACGAAACGACCCTGAAATTCCAAGATGGCTCTCTCAATTCTTTCTCGAGTTATCGTGCGGACAGACAGACAGACAAACAGAATGAAACTTTTCCGGTCTGTGGAGTTATGGGCTTCGCTAATCGCTCAGCCAATGAGTTACCCTACCGGAAACCAACAAATATCTGAGAAAAAACGTAAAAATGTTTTGCGGTCATTTTCGTGTAGAAAAACTCCCTTTGGTGCCTAAACGGTTAAAGATAGAGCCAAATGGAAGAAATAGACCATTCCGGTAAAGCGAAAAAAGAAGAACAGACGAAAGAAGCAAAGGCGAGTATGAGAAATATACGGTGGTGCGTCGGTTCCACAGTCGTATCAAACGGTTAAACGTGACTTGTCTGATGTCTAAATTCGTTTGAGAGTTAATGACAATAGTTATCACTCTCAGGCGACGCAGAATATTTTGTTTACGGTGGATTACTTTCGAGCGTTCCCAAGGCGCACCGTACATTTCTCATAGAACGCTTTGCTTCTTCCGTCTCTTCTTTCTTTTCGGTTTACCGGAATGGTCTATTTTCGCCCATGGGCTCTATTTTGATGAAGTACCCCCTAGGAAACAACTAGCTATTTGTACGCCAGACCACGTCTCGCGTAACAGGCTTCGCGATGTCTCACGAAACACTGTTACGCTGCGACGCGCCTGGCGCACATATAGCTAGGCCTGCGGCGCTGACACCCGAGACGGAGTAATAGGAGTGTGTATACAATTATTCGAAATGAAGTCTTTTTAACGATTTAATCGACCATTTGATCATTTTCACCTCATTTTTGTCAAGAAATGCCTCCTAGCACCTAAACGGTACAAGATAGAGCCAAACGGAAAAAATTTCGTCCAAAGGGCTCTACTTTGACGGTTTACCCCTTAGTAACCCATAAAAAAATATTTGATAAAAATACATTTTGCGACCTGTAGTTTTTGATTTTTTAAAAATCCAATTTTTGAGCTATGCTCATCTTCGAACTCGATCTGTCTTTGTATGATACAAAACGACCCTGAAATTTTCAGATCGCTATCTCAATAAAGCATTCCGGTAAGGCTGAAATGCAGAAGAATGCAGGGAACAAGAAAACGGAAGTCCCATGTAAAAGGATAATGATTTCCGTTTTCTTCTTCCTCGCATTCTTCTTCATTCTAGCTTTACCGGAATGCTTTATTCCTTCTCGAGTTATCGTGCGGACAGACAGACAGAAACAAACAGACAGACAAACAGAATGAAACTTTTCCGGTCACTGGAGTAATGGGCTTCGCAAATCGCTCAGCCAACTAGCTATATGTACGCCAGACCACGTCTCGCGTAACAGGCTTCGCGATATCTCACGAAACACTGTTACGCTGCGACGCGCCTGGCGCACATATAGCTAGGCC